AGCAGGAACCAACACCACTGCTGTTTCAGATAGACTGTTAGGCCCAAATCCTGCAAATTAATCTGTACAGGTAGATCCCCCTGCCTCTGGGAATCTGCATTTAGACAAAGAGGGAAAAACAACTCAAAGAATCAGATTCTTAATTTGAAGCTGGACCACTGTAACTCACTATGACACTAATCATAAATGTCTCACCAACATTCTCTGGTTCCCATCTGTTTTATCTTATTATAGTGTTATATCTCAATCCACTGGACTAGCTACAGTAGTCAAATTAAGCACCTGCACACGCCTGTCTCTGTAAGACCAGGTCCTCAGACAAAGGCAACATTTTTCTCTCCCTTGTGCACATGCCTACTCTGTTCCCTGAATGGCTCTACACAATAGAATGAAATAACTGTAACATCAATTTCTTCATTTATACAAATACAAATCTCAATCTTTTCCATCAATCTAGCCATTTAAGCCAAGGGATAAAAACTCCATTCACCTTCTGAAGTGTAGCAACTAATGTTTTCAAAGGAAGTGACCTGCTTATCAAGAATGACCTGCAAAACTATAAAACTGAGCTTTAAAATTATTTTAAAGGAGTATTTGCTTGTTTTTCATACTGTCACAACAACGAGAAAAATTCATAAAATAACACTTATTGCAAACTGCAAAGTCAAATCTACTGGCATTAATAGACCCTAAACTGAGAAATGCTGAAGGGGGGAGCATGGCTCCAGGCCTCCAGCTCTTCTACTCTCCTCTCTGCACCCAAGTGGGTCACTGTCAGGCACAGCACAGCAGGGCTGCAGACCTTTCTTCTCACAAAGTAGTGCATTCTCACAGGTATCCCACAGAAAGAAGTCCCAAATATTTTAATGACAGTGCCACCAGAAAGAATCCTACTTTTAATTAAATTACAAACATTAAAGTATGAGTCTTTAATGGGGGTTAGTTTGGGGTTGGTTTTTTTTGCAACTTCCATCTTCTTAAGAAGAAGTGGCGTTAAGAACTAAACAAAAGTGCAATTACACATTTATCACATATTTCAATAATCTGATTAACACATTTGTCAAACAGGTAGAGGAGGGAATGTGGAAAACATACTTGCCCACAAAGCAAAAATGAGACAGACATAATATTAAAGCTATTAATCTTGCTATTTTCCAGAACTACCAGCATCAACCATGCTTATTCTCACTACTTATAGCAGAAAAGAAAAACAGCAATGAAAAAAATCCAGAAAACTAAATAAACCATTTAAGAAGTCAGTGTAAAAGAAACACTTCTGAAGTGCAATTCCCCCTTCCTCACCAGACAGACAGAATTCTGGAAGGTGCTCTTGGCCACTGGATTTGTACTGAAATTCAGCAACAACTGGGATTTAGGGGAAGCATTCAAGATATTACAGAGATACTGGCATCCTTTCAAGGGTAGTATGCTGGATCATAATTTTCTTTCCCAAATTAGAGGTTAAATCTGACAGCAGAAACTCAACCAGAGCTGGGATATGAAGACTCTCAAAACAGAAGTGTCTTGCCTAAGACCTGATTGGCAGCATGTTTCCTCTCGAGAGGCTGCAGCTCTTGGGACCTCTCGATTTCAAAAACCAGCAGAAGCCAGGAGCTGGGAGCTACCCTTTCACAAGTGCTATGAGAGGGGTCCCATCTGCCCTCTAACACCTTGCTGTAGGGCACTCAAAACATGCCGGGGGGCTGCATTTGGCACCACTGTCACAGGCTGCAGACCTACATGTCAAGGAAAGATACTAAAAACCAGTTTCCCTCTGCTCATAGGTCAATTTACCCTTATCAAAATTATCGTTCATTTATGTCAGCTGTTGAGGATTCACAAACTAAGATACTCACACACGGCCTGAGTGCCTTGAAAATCCAAGTCATGGTACGGGTTAACAACATGATTCAAAACTTTCAAAAGTATTGCAAACAATTACCACACCCTCAAGTCACAGATAAAATATTTTTTGTAGAGCTTAAATACATACATCTCTGGCATGGTACATTTCTCATAGCTGGCAAAATTTTCCTGCAGATTCTGGCAACAGAATACTTTGAGTTTACAAGTTGGTTGTAGAGTAAATAGTTTTATTTATTAAAAATCATTCCTGATCTTACCTTTTAGCAGAGGCAGGGGAGTTAACTCGATAGGCTTGCCCTGAGACCTAAACTGGGAGGAGCTTTGTGACCTCTTCTGTCTGGCTTTTCTGACGGACTTACGAGAAAATCCGTCTACTTTATCCACTGATGGAGGAGTAGTTGGTGCTGAGGACATATCCCTACTGAAGGAAAATAAATATTACAAACATATTCCAAACGGATGAACTACGTAAAGACTAACCTAAATTTTCCAAAAATCTTTATGTACCCCTCTCCTGCTGACAACTCAGCCAGGCACACTGTTAAAAGAGCTAATCCTCCAACATACATACAAATTCTGGGGGATAAACTTAATGGAACAGTGTAGTAATTCTTCCCGCTCACTTTTTACCTGTCTCCCATTTGCCAGAAATCCTGCAACAGGAAAAATTCAGACCTAATGCTGACATCACTACATCAACAGAACTTCATACACCTGTAGACCTGACATACAATTGTAGCCTTAAACTATATTCCTTTGGACAAAGTGATATGGGTACACAAAAAGGTACAAACTTTTTTTTTGGCATTAAAAGTATCAACATGCAAAGGAAAAAAAAAAATAGGAAAAAAAAATTTGCCACTCCCATATACAAGATTTTATAGAAATTTTAGAAAGTATAGCAAAAAGTACTGCTATGCTTCACAAAGTCAATAACGTTGACAAATTTTAAATATCGCTTCTTTATTCTCCATTTGAGAAAGATTTGGTTATTTTCTTGTGAGTCTTTTCCATAGTTACTCCATGTTCTCGCATTTCTGTCAGAATATCAGCCTGGTGGTAGATGCAACTGTACTAAGGGCATAAGCCAGACAAGGTTTGCAGGGAGAGGCAGAGAGCCAAAAGAGGTTTCTGCAAGCAAAACTAAGTTTGTTTCCCAACTCTGTCAGCTGGACTAAGAAATAAGCCTTGCTTCTTCCTATAAAACTTGCCCTGGTACTGTGCCTGTAGCTGATTCCACGCTACTAAGAAAAAAAAACTACAGGAAACATTCAAACAGTTTAATCCATCCAGTTACTGTATTTGCCAGTCCTACCCTGTCTGTTAAAAAGGCCCATCGCATCTTTGTGAAATACATGAGTAATACTTCAGGGAAACAAGGCGGGAGGAACTCAGGCCTAGGTCTTTCAAGCAGCTCTGTGTACAGTTATAACTTCCCCAGCATGTGCAGCTCCCCTGAGCCCAGGACGATCTGCACTCACACAGGACCACGGCCCAGAGCAGCTCTGCTGGCTGCAGGGAGGCCACACTCGTGCAAAGTTAAACATCGACAGGAGCATTTGCAGGATCAGGGTCTTAGAATGTGTCCTTGGAAAGCAATACTCATCCTCAGTGTCTGTTGACTTCAATTACCAAAGTGGCTCGAATGCTAAAAGAAGTTGATTCCACAATATAGAGAACGCTTCTGAGTACTTGTTTTATTAAAATATTTGGTTACTCATATGCTTCATAAATTATTAAATCCATTGAAAGAGACGTTATTTGGGTTTGACTTCTCTAAGAGGGCTTTAGAAAGTATGATTTGTTGCAACGATGTAAACAAGTTCTGAAAGGTAAGAACTATTTATTGCAAAATCACATATGTGTGCACTAAATCTATCAAAAATGGAAGTAAAAACTCCACAGCTTCTTCGAGGAAGCATGTACAGCACCCAGAAGCTGATGTGTGCAGCTGGCATGACAATAATGAAAAAAAATCTTACTCTATCTTTTTGATTTCTCCTGAGGTATTCTTTCACTACCAACTTACGCTTTCTAAATATAATATACTATCAGCAACATGAACCTGTACCTTAAACTGGCCTTGTTTATTATCGGG